TCAAAATCATGCAATCAAAATACATAATATATTGAATTTCCAAAGTACAGAACAATCAAACCATAGTACTCGAATTCGGGCTACATCAATGCCCTAAGAAAGAAATTAGCTACTCATGACGACGCAAGGTATCATTTATGTTGTTGTGGTCTTCATCGCCATAGACTGCCAAAACTCCTTTTGGATCCTCTTCTTCAAAACCCTAAAAGCCACTGTGAGAGAGATATGAGAGATGGATTGATGGATGATGCTCTTAATGTGTCTTCTCCTCTTCTTTTATAGTGGAGAACAAGTCCCAATCCCCTTTGGATTGGTTTTACAGCTTTTGGTAACAATTGGTCCCATAAGGAAACAAAAAGGGATGATTTTAAGTAATTCATGCATGCATTTTTAACCTCCAGGATGCCAGAGCTCGAGCTCTGGAGTCGGGGCTCGAGCTTAACCTGTCAGCAACTTGTTTTGACGTTGTAACACAATTTTGACACATTTAGAGCGCGAATCGCAAGATGGCTATTAGAGACAAAAACATCGGGCTTTGAGTCTTGTTTCTAGAGACGCTAAGTTTGCTCAATTTAGAGTTTTGAGTCAAAAGTTATGTCCAAAATACTGAAGAAGATCTAGAGTTTTAAGCAATGCTAGAGCCCCGAGTTGTTGTGCTTGAGCTTTGAAGCTTGGGCTCGAGCTCTGGGAGTAAAATTTGTCTGAAACGTCTTTTTATTGATGGTGTTTGATCTCTCCTTCATGGTGCTCGATCCCAAGGTGTTTTGGGCTTAAGCTTTGGGGCAGTGGGCTCGAGTTTCTTGAACATGTGCTTAATCTCATGTTGCTTGGCACGAGGTCTTAGGACTGAATCAAATTTTCACATTTTGAAGCATCACGTGCTTGAGCTCTTAGGCAAAAGCTCGAGCACCCTATGGTTGGGCTCGAGCTCTGGAGTTCTAAGCTCGATCTTTCTTATCTTGGTGGAATTTCTTATTTTTATCTGTTGTGCTCAAGCCATAGAACTAAGGGTCGAGCTTCTGTACTTGAACTCTTCCAAAATTCACCATTTTGACTCCCAGCTTGCTTCAGATGGCCGGCAACGACGCAGTAAACTTCATTATCATTCTTTCCATTATAAAAGCCCGATTTTAACTGCTTCTTTGGGAAAGTACCACAAAACACGAAATACATAGAAATTAGTTTAACAATGGATAGAAGTATCACTTGAGGTCTTAACATATGTATATTTAGGGGCTCGAATATATAATATTTAGAACTCATCACAATACTTATCTCACTTTCTTCGAGCTCATACACTCAGGAAAGCTCGAGATTCAAGCACACCCCCTTTTCACCTTTCTCAAGTTCAACACTTAGAAAGAGTGATCAGCCACCAGGCTATACCCCAAATATTTCTCGAGTTTCTACACTTAGAAATTTTGAAGGTCTTCGCAACAATACTTATCTCATTTTTCTTGAGTTCCTACACTCAGAAAAGCTCAAGATTCAAGCATACCCCCTTATCACCTTTCTCGAGTTCAACACTTAGAAAGAGTGATCGGCCACCAGGCCATACCCCAAATATTTCTCGAGTTTCTACACTTAGAAATTTTGGAGGTCTTCGTAACAATACTTAACTCGCTTTCATCGAGTTTTTACACTCAAGAAAACTCGGGATTCAAGCACACCCCTTATCACCTTTCTCGAGTTTAACACTTAGAAAGCGTGGCCACACCCAAAATATTTCTCGAGTTTCTACACTTAGAAAATTTGGAGGTCTTCACAACAATACTTATCTTGCTTTCCTCAAGTTCCTACACTCAGGAAATCTCAAGATTCAAGCATACCCCCTTATCAGCTTTCTCGAGTTCAACACTTAGAAAGGGTGATCAGCCACCAGGCCATACCCCAAATGTTTCTCGAGTCTCTACAGTTAGCAATTTTGGAGGTCTTTGCAACAATACTTATCTCGCTTTCCTTGAGTTCCTACACTCAGGAAGGCTCGAGTTTCAATCACACCCTCTTATCACCTTTCTCGAGTTCACCACTTAGAAAGAGTGATTGGACACCAGACCATACCCTAAATATTTCTCAATTTTCTACACTTAGGAATTTTGGAAGTCTTCACAACAATACTTATCTCGCTTTCCTCAAGTTCTTCGTAACAATACCTTTCTCGCTTTCCTCAAGTTTCTACACTTAAGCAGGCTCGAGTTTTCATACACAAATTTTCCTTAAATTTTCAACACTTAGTAATTTTCGGAACACACACAAAGATGATGGACTCGCACAAAATATTACTTTGTTCATTACTTAGCATAAAATAACAGCTGACATTTTTTTTTCTCATATCCCCACAGTGTACATCATGAACTAACCCACAACCCCCATGTACCCATACAAAACTAACCCACACTACATTCATGGTGGCAATTTTAAAACATTTTTATTGCCAATCGATTAAAAGGTTAATGTCCCCATTGGTCTCCACCATCACTGCTTGCAACGTCACCATTTCCTCCTCGAGCTCTTTCAGCTTGGGTTTTGTCTCTTCAATATGAGTATCCATCTCTCTTGCTTGAGGAGCAATCTGCCATTGCCTTATAATTCATTCTAATATGTTCAACCTTCTCACTAGCCACCCCATCTCAATCCAGAACCATTGAAGGTCTTCCATAATCACATGGGCTACCTGAATTTGCACGTTGAGACTCTCTCCCGCTAATATCTCTGTAAATATTTGAAGAATCCTCCCTAACAGTTCATAGGGCCTATGCCAGCTTGACACGTGTCGCCTCGATAATACCACGGTTATATCTTGACGATTTTGTAGTGCCTGTTCTAACAACGAAATAAACTCCTACGGAATTCGCACACCCATAAACTCTTTTTTTAGTGCCATTAATACTCCACTCACAGCTTCACTGTTACTTTTGCCCTTATGTTCACTACAGCTGTATCACCTTGTGTCCCTATAACCATTGCTATATGTTAGACCAAGAGGGGGGTGTGGGTGAATTGGTCTTTCTTAAACTTCTTCTTCTAGATCAACAAAAATAATCAAACACAAATTAGGCACATAACACAGGATATACAAGGAAACCTTTTCAATAGGGAAAAACCTTGGTTCTTGGCCTCAGCCAATAAAAGCCTCTACTAGTAGTATGAACCTTGTTACACACTCAGCTATCTCACTCGCTGCATATATTCTTATACAAGAATAGATGCTAGCTTTCACAACCAATCCACACATACTAACTGACCATCAACACTAACTGTATGCAAGTAGTTACTCACTCAGCTGCCCCACTTTCCACACACCTTGTACTAGCTAGGACACTGACTTTCACTCCCTCTACATACACAAAAGATCAAACAATATACACACTGGCACTCTCCTAGTCCACAACCCCTTTGCTTGGACACACAATGCTCTCAATAGCTTAATCAACAATGAATAGAAGGTGTCAACACACCAAATACAATATACTCCAGTTGCAACACAAGATAAGAATGAAAACATAGCCTTGAGTACCACACAACACAAGAAACCCTAGCTTTCACTTCACTGTAACAAGAAGGGTAGAACTATCAATACACACTGCAGCTTCACTTGATGCTCAAACTAGGTTCCCATAGCCTTGACACAGTTAGATACACTTGCTTGTATGTAGAACACAAGTAGAGAAGTAAGGTAGAATAATAAAAGCTTTCAAAAGGCTAAAACCTTAGATTTAAAAGTAATGAAGTAACTTCACAATGCAGCTCCAAGAATGGCCTGCAATGGACTTCCAAAGCTTTGTATAGCCAATATACACTTGCACAAATGTCTTCCACAATGAACTCAGTAAGGTACAGTAGTTTTGGTGTACAATAGAACAAAACCCTAAAACCAAGGGTAAAGAAGTAACTTCACTTTGTAGCTTCAGAACTGACCTGCACTAGTTACTCATAGCCTTGATATCTTCATATAATGTTGCTTAATAGGTTTCATAATGATTGGAGCAAGGTATAACACTTTAACTTCACAAAGGCCTTAGTCACACCATGCCCTAGCTTTCAAGCTTTTAAGGGTAAAATTGTAATTTAGCTTTAAGGGCGCCTCAAACTATACTCCCCTAGTCTTCAATAGGCCAAATAAATATGTTCAATTATTAAGAACATCACAGATAGGAAGATAGAAGCAAATGCAAGGTCACAATAACAACTTCAGTGTTAAAACACTGAATTTCAGTTCTACCAAACACTGCCTTGAGATAGTTCAGATTCTCTTCAACAAAGGGCTCTCACAACTTAGAATAGATGTAATATACTTGGTCTAAAACTTGGACAATATATACACACAAGAACACATCAATGTAGTTCAAATAGCAGCAAAACAACAACTCCCAACAGGCTTAATCTTTGCTGCAACACTATTCTGGTATGAGGGCTACTTTAATAATTTTGAGACTGGTCCTTGTTGAATCTAGTTCCCACAGTTGAATCTCAATATATAACACTTGCTCAAGATAACATTTCACAGATTATTGCAAAGTGTTATTAAATTAAAGTCCAAGGTTAGTATGTAAATCAGTTTTTGCTGTAGCACTGATATTGGGGTAGAAATGGAATTTCACCACAACATCAACATGAACTCAGCACCCTTAGTCATATTTTAGCTAAATATAGATGCTCAGATGATTATTACCGCAGAACTAGCATCATTGATCAAATCAGTTCATAGTTTATATAGATTTCAGTTGAGAACCTTAAAAATAAGGGTTTTACATTACAAATCCCTTAAGGTCACTTTTCTATGATAAAACTTAGATGGTATAGCTTTGATTCATCATTTTAAGTATGACCATGAAATAATAAAGCATGTAACTTCAGGATATGTCACATCTAAGTTCATATATTGCAGCTAAGCACCAAAAACTGAATAAAGAGCGTGTTAAAGATCAGAGAAATGATACCAGCTCAACTGAAGTAGTTCTTATGACTTCTGTAGATGTAAATCAACTAAATACACTTACTTAACTCATGTGTTAGCCCCAGTAATGAACATAGCAATATTGGACCTCTTGAACCTCACAATTACACCAGAAATTAGTAGCTGCCAGCCTTTCTTTAATCTTCAACTTGTATACACTGTTTGGTGTAATACTTAGGTAGATTTCAGCTTATTTAACAGATAAAAAACTCAAGAAAAATGTCTTCATTGTAGTATCTCGAGAGTTCTTCAATATTCAGCTCATTTTTAGCCCTTTGGCTTTTTAGAAGAGGCTAGCTGCCATCACATTATATTTATAGTCTCAAAACATGAAACCCTAGTAAGGATAAGGCTGAGACATTATGAACCAATCAGGTTATAGGGTATTTTCTGGAAATTGCAAGGTGTGTGTGGACCACTTCTCCTTGATAGACCCTCATTGGCCTTATAGACACACACATCTACACATAATTTTGCACATCAGCTGTAGAGAGAGAAAATAAGCTTTTTCAGCCAATAATTGAATATCAAGTCCTTACATTCTCACAGCAGGACCACTGTGCACGTGTCTGCCTTATGATCATCACAGTATATCATATATATATGTATACACACTGAATTACTAAGACTACCCTTGAGACTACACATGTCACACATTGTTTTGCAGCCACAAATAAGTCCTTAGAATTTTATCTCTTGGCTCAAATACATAATGCACCATCTCAGGCAAATATAGGCTGACCTTACACATATGTAGAATGACATAATTTCCCCTTGAGTCCTTGTGGTTACCAAATAACCCTTAGTAGATAGAACATTGAATAACTTATTCTTTTGACATTGAAAAAGCAAATAGAACAAACACTATATCCAATGGCCCCACATTTTCTTGGTGTATGCTGCTGCACTTGGGGTCATAAGATTTGGTCCAGTCTTTTCATTTGCAATTTCTGAGTTTTTTCTCTCACATGCACTGCTATACAATTTCAGATAAACCCATACAGACTTTCCTCCCAAACCATACGCTTCCAACTTTTTATAAGGGCCCTATACCGATACGTAAACCAATGCACCATGACGATTTTTCACTATGCACGTCATTAGTCACTTCCAAAATGGTGGCATTAATTGTTCTATCATGCCTTTACAGATTCTGTGAAACCGCATTTTCAACTCATGCATGCACCCCCCACCACCTGGCAGCACAAGCGCGAAAGGGGACTAAATGTAGGGAACGTATCCCACGTTGACACATGGCATCACATGGCATAGATAAGTACACAGTTATCATGTACGTCTTGACACCCTGCTTTTGCTCGAGGGAAAACATCATGGCTGAGGTGTCTCGAAGATGAGCCTGATCACCTACGTGTTCCCCTACAACACTTATAATCACATTTGTTGCTTCCTAGTTCCCGTCGCTTTTGAAGGGATGTGCATTCAATGCGATAGTAGCGTCTTTTGTACAAAAGGACCATTATAGCCCTATATGACTTTATAGAGTCATCATGACTATCCTAGCGGATCTAGCACTAAAGCTCTCGAGAGCCAAGAAGTGAAAGAGGGAGGAGGCTATAAAAAAGGAGGACTCACGCCAAGAGAAAGGAGGCAGGATTATTCATCTTCCGTTTTTATTCGTATTTTGATATCATCCCTTTTATTGTATTTAATCCAAGTATAAATATAAAGAACCCTTACAAATTCCATAAACTAACTTGTTTTAAAAACTTTAATTTTAGAATGAAATTTCTTTTAACTTTGGAATTTTGGGCTACCTTGTTTGGACACTTAATGAATTACATGAAAATTTCTTCATGAGAACTGGTCGTCTTAAGTTAAGAAGTTCCGCCAGCCATTGATAATCCTAATCCTAATAAAGATGGAGGTCCTGTGTTAGGGTCAACCTCCCAGAGTCCCTCTTCTAATTCCTGCCTCAAGTTGAGAAGATAGATCCATCCTAGCTAGATAAGGGGTCCCCCTTACGTTTAAAATCAAGCAAATATTTTCTTTTTTTATTTTTTTTTGATATTTTCTTTTTCCATATATATATATATTTTTGGTATCAGGTCTGGTCAGATCGAATCAAGTCAAGTGCTCGGAAGTAGTTCCCGAAATTTTTTTTATTTTTTATTATTTTTTTTTCTTCATATTGGTGTGTTTGACCTCGTGTCAAATTGGATTTGTGTTGTACTTGTTTATACCTTGCCTTTTGGTGCTTTGGGGTATTTGTGCAATTTCATTTGGTTGACATTCCCATTTTGGGGGCGTTTTGTGTGAATATCTTTTGGAGATGTTTTCATTGAGGGGTTTTAGTGCGATTATCTTTTAGAGATATTTTTATTTTAGGGTTTTAGTGCGATTATCTTTTGGAGATATTTTTATTTTGGGGCAAAAGTGAAATTATCGTTTGGGATATTTTTCATGGGGGACTTTTGTGCAATTAGTGGAAGTTAGGGCAATGCGTCTTATTTTGGTTAAGATGCTTGCACCGGATTTTTTTCAGTCTTTCTTTAAGCCACAAACTTTTAAAATTCTCTTCGGACCTTTTCCCCAGTTTTAGGGTTTTTGACCCGGGAAGTTGCCATGTGGGTCCGGGAAGGATTTTGGGGTTCGGGATTCATTTTTCAATGCCGTTTCTTTTATCGTGCATTATTTTGGCTAGCGGTGTTTTTACATTTATGGTTTTTATCCGTTTAAGCGCATTTTGACAACTTTTACCTTTCGGGGTCGCGTGGGGCCCTCTCTTGCGATATTTTTGAAGAAGTATTAAAGGGGGAAGAAAGAAAGAAAAATCAGATTTCTCCTCTCTTTGGCCAAATTTTCTTCTTTTCTTTTTCTTTTCTTTTTTTCATTCTTAGATCCATGCCTTCTCTCCTCCATTTGGCCTTCCATCTTTGAGATTCAGCCTTTGTCGTATGAGGGTTTTGTGATGGCCTTACTTTTGATTCAATTAAATTTTTGTTTTGTCCATTTTTGAGTTTTGGAGTTGAGCTCGAATTTGGATTTGGGTGATGCCGCAAGAGGGTTTATTGATCTCCTCATTGTCCCCGACATAACCCCGAAGTATTGTCCCTTTCGAGACATTTTCATTTTGGCCTTTTTGAGGTTTTCACCTCAATGTGAGGTAGGTGTCTTATGCTGGTAATTTACATTTTCTTTTGGTTTTATGGATACGGATATATGTAAAGCAAGTTTAATTGTCAAGTTGATATGTGAGCCATATTTTATTTGATATATTAGCTATATATATGCACTGTTTAAGGTATAGAGTTGTTATCATTTTTACCTTAGGTTTATATTAGGTTTTGGAAATGTTAAGCATGATAGGAAGATGTGAAATTTCGGTATTTGATTGATTTATAGTTGCCTAATCATGTTTTATGTAGAAAAGGTATCATTATGGATATTTATGTGCATATGTGTTTATATGCATTTGGAGGATTTGGTTAAATGTCTACTTGTGTAGTTTAGACATTATTGTATCATTGTGATGCTTAGGTTTATTTTCATCGTACATAGTTATAGTGTGTGTGCCACTTTGGCCATAGGTTCATTGTGGTCATCATTGGGTTCACGAATTATGTATGCATGGCATGCATGAGATATTTGATGGATAAATGCTATTCATATTGTGTGGAAGGGCACTCATTTGTATTACAGGTGCGGAATGAGATTTCGGTGATTGTAGCACATCCTCATTGTAGGTGCGTAATAGGATTCTGGTGATTCTGACATAGCATTATTATAGGTGCAGAATATTATCCTGGTGATTCCACCACATTGTCATTATTTTTGCATCATGGCATTCACATGTGTGAGTTGTTTCATGGAGGAGTACATGGGTTCGGTTGATTTCTTTATTCATGAAATTATGTAGACTTTGTTATTGTTATAGTTTTATAATAATCATGTGATAATATGCCATATGTAGTTTATGACTCGTTTGGAAGTTTACTTGTTGGCTTGTATTTCTACTACATAACTTAGTTATGTGTTTAACTTGTTGAGTTGGACTATCATGCCATGAAAACTAGAGTTAGGGTGCATGATTCCCTTTGTATTTCATGAAGCTTAGGCTTTAGGTTACATGACCTTTCATCCTTGGGATGCTGAGCATTATTGCATATCCTTGGAGATTTCGAAGGACTTAAATTATCGGTGTAATCCACCATGACCTACTGACAGGTGGTGCTCACCCCTATTATACAAACATTTTTCAGGAACGGAGTAGCTTCAGATGATTTTAGAGTTTAAGACTCAATTATAGATTTTTGATGTATAATTGCTTCGATGTATAATGTAATTCATATGCATGGATGTAATATCCTTTTATGAAAATTGTATCTTGAGATTCATTTGATATAATCTAATAAGGCTAATGGCCATTTTATTTCAAAGCATGATATTAGTTCCCTTAATGTGCATTCATTTAGTCCTATTTTAGTTATGCTCTATTTTAGCTTGTGTTAGGTTTGGATGATATTGTATTTTTATTTTGTTTATGGTTGGAGGCTTGATTGCTATTCATCCGTTTTTTTTTTTTTTTTTTTTTTTTTTTTTTTTTTTTTTTACAACCGAATCGATTATTTCGGGACTTTCCGGGGTCATTTGGGTTTATATGGACATCGCATATTCTAACGGGACCTTGGGAAACCTTTCCAGAAGCCTATTTTCAGTTTTTGGATAGAATGTAAATCCATCTGCAGGTACTGTTGACGCGCTGAATAAATTTTTCACCCGAATTTACAATAGTCATATCTCACTCATTTCAGATCTAAATTAAGTCATTCTTAAGTCTAAATTCAAAAATTTTGAGTCATATTTCCAATGGTACCAATCCCATTTTCAGATTTATTTCTTACCGAGAGATATGCTCGTTTTAGTGGGACATTGTCGGGAAATTAGTTGACCGGGAGGGGGTAATTTTGGAAAATCATAACTAAAGGCCTTAGGACCTCTTGGGATGTCATGAAATGATTATATGGTATTTGTTTCACCCCATTTGACTTGTTTAGGGTCAAATTATATTCTCATTGGGTAAAATGACCATTTCCATGCTTTGTCCGTTTTGATCTTAGTTTCCTCATTTGTATTCTAGTTAAGTCTTGTTGATTCCGTTTGCTATTCTTTTGTTTTCCTAGAGATGGTGTCATCTCTAGTGACCACTTTTCTTTTGTTTTTGCTTCCATATTTCGGACTCATTATTGGGTAAGGTTACTCACTAAAGGTCCAGGTTATAGAAATTCGGGCCGTTACATCTTTCCACTCATACCTCTCAATAATAACATACGTAT